CAGTCATATATCCTGTGAGAGGTGGGAATCGGTGTCACGTGCGCCCGACTCGCTCCCTTCCCCCTCGCCGCACACAGCCGTGAAGCAGGCTGTGCAGGATGAGGGGAGGGGACCACTGTGACCCCCCCCCCCCCACTCGCCAGGAAATCCCAGTGGGGGGCCGCTGGGAGGTCTCTGCGCGCTCCCCAGTGGGCGCAGGGCTTCCCGTGCTCGGCGCCCCGCCAGAGACAAAGGCTGCGCTCCCTGCGTGTGGCTGGAGTGAGTGGGGCGTGCCTCGTTACCCTGGCAACACGGCACTGCGCCGGCCGTTGCCAGGGCAACGAGGAAGTGTCCCGCAAAGCCTTTAAAAAGGCCAGCGTGAGACCAGGCTCTCTCTCTCCCTTCCTCCTACGCTGTCCGGCCGCTCTCCCTCGGCCCGCCACGCCACTGCTGTCGTGGGAGGTCCGGGTGGGGACCGGGCCTCCGCAGACATCCCCGCTGAGCACTCTGCATGAGCCCCCTCTTCCCAGGTCAGACCCCGCGGCCATGCTAGCCCCGCTGCTGTGTTCCTGGCCGCTGTGAGGGCCCCTGCTGCTGATCGCTGGGCCCTGGGAGGAGCTGGCCGCTGTGAGGGTCCCTGCCTGCTGATCGCTGCTGTTCCTTAAAACGCTGGCCGCTGTGAAGGCCGCCGTCTGTTGCTGAGGGTCCCTGGAAGCCGCCTGCTGCTGAGCGCGTGCAAGTTGCCTACCTCCCCTTCCTGGAAGCCGTCTGCTGCTGAGCGTCTGCAAGCCGCCTACCGTGAGTGTCCCTAGAAGCCATGAACTGCCCCTAGTGTGTGCACAGAGCCCCCGGATCCTGAACTGTCCCTGTTGTGCGCAACGACCCCCCCCCCCCCCCGTGTCCTGAACTGTCCGTGTTGTGCGCACCGACCACCCGTATCCTGAAGTGTCCCTGTTGTGCACACCGACCTTCCCCGTGTCCTGAACTGTCCCTGTTGGGCCGCACAGACCACCCGTGTCCTGGACTGTCCATGGTGTGCGCACCGACCGTCCGTGTCCTGGACTGTCCCTGGTGTGCGCACCGACCACCCGTGTCCTGGACTGTCCCTGTTTTGTGCACCGACCACCTGGGTCCTGAACTGTCCCTGTTGTGCTGGGCCAGACTCCACAGCTGGAGTCCCGTTGAGTCCCCTTGTCCCTATGAGCTGCATGTCGCGGAGTGCCATGAACTGTTCTGATTGAGTGTCTTTCAGAGTTCAATAAAGCTTTGTGTGTTCCCCGTCTTCTTTGTGTGTTCTGTCCTCCTGCCTACGCTTCCGTTACAAGGGTTATACAGTATTATATCTTCTAGAGCATTATAGATTGATCAATCATTGATGCCAGCCTTTGCCTGTGGTGGATTCGGGTCTTGGTTTCATGAGTATCAGGGCAGTATAAGAAAAATAAAACCAGCATTATATGTAAAAACTAAAACATGCTTCTTACTAGATATCACATTTTCAGTTCGTTAGCCCTTAGACTAATATTTTCTCAAGCATATCTTCACTATAGAAACATTAGTGGGACACGATAGCTGCTAAACAGATTAAAGAATATGAAATCCCACCATTTCATATTCCTGATATGTATTTTCTGTAACATGTATTTTTATGAAAACGTATCCCTGTGCTCTTTGTGTTGCTTCCTTTGTGTGAAATACCTATGATTTTGTCAGTCCATCTGCTTTTTTATTAAAAACTGACCACATGAGGCAGGAGAGCACAGCGTGGTCTGTTTTCTGGCTGAGTTGAAACTCAACTTGCCCCCCAATGATCAGACTTCTGTTGACAGGACCTCTCATCCCCCACACAGCCATTCACTAGAAAGAGCAGTATGCTGCTGTTTCTCCTTCCTGAACTCCTTATGCAGCTGAGAACGTGGTGACTTATAAATGCCACTTTTTATTTATATATATATATATATATATATATATATATATATATACATACACAGTCAGGTCCATAAATATTGGGACATCGACACAATTCTAACATTTTTGACTCTATACACCACCACAACAATGGATTTGAAATACAACAACAAGATGTGCTTTAACTGCAGACTGTCAGCTTTAATTTGAGGGTATTTACATTCAAATCAGGTGAACGGTGTAGGAATTACAACAGTTTGCATATGTGCCTCCCACTTGTTAAGGAACCAAAAGTAATGGGACAAAATAATAATCATAAATCAAACTTTCACTTTTTAATACTTGGTTGCAAATCCTTTGCAGTCAATTACAGCCTGAAGTCTGGAACGCATAGACATCACCAGATGCTGGGTTTCATCCCTGGTGATGCTCTGCCAGACCTCTACTGCAACTGTCTTCAGTTCCTGCTTGTTCTTGGGGCATTTTCGCTTCAGTTTTGTCTTCAGCAAGTGAAATGCATGCTCAATCGGATTCAGGTCAGGTGATTGACCTGGCCGTTGCATAACATTCCACTTCTTTCCCTTAAAAAACTCTTTGGTTGCTTTTGCAGTATGCTTTGGGTCATTGTCCATCTGCACTGTGAAGCAGCGTCCAATGAGGTCTGAAGCATTTGGCTGAATATGGGCAGATAATATTGCCCGAAACACTTCAGAATTCATCCTGCTACTTTTGTCAGCAGTCACATCATCAATAAATACAAGAGAACCAGTTCCATTGGCAGCCATACCTGCCCACGCCATGACACTACCACCACCATGCTTCACTGATGAGGTGGTATGCTTAGGATCATGAGCAGTTCCTTTCCTTCTCCATACTCTTCTCTTCCCATCACTCTGGTACAAGTTGATCTTGGTCTCATCTGTCCATAGGATGTTGTTCCAGAACTGTGAAGGCTTTTTTACATGTCATTTGGCAAACTTTAATCTGGCCTTCCTGTTTTTGAGGCTCACCAATGGTTTACATCTTGTGGTGAACCCTCTGTATTCATTCTGGTGAAGTCTTCTCTTGATTGTTGACTTTGACACACATACACCTACCTCCTGGAGAGTGTTCTTGATCTGGCCAACTGTTGTGAAGGGTGTTTTCTTCACTAGGGAAAGAAGTCTTCGCTCATCCACCACAGTTGTTTTCCATGGTCATCCGGGTCTTTTGGTGTTGCTGAGCTCACCGGTGCGTTCCTTCTTTTTAAGAATTTCCAAGCAGTTGTTTTGGCCACGCCTATTGTTTTTGCTATCTCTCTGATGGGTTTGTTTTGTTTTTTCAGCCTAACGATAGCTTGCTTCACTGATAGTGACAGCTCTTTGGATCTCATCTTGAGAGTTGACAGCAACAGATTCCAAATCCAAATAGCACACTTGAAATGAACTCTGGACCTTTTATCTGCTCATTGTAATTGGGATAATGAGGGAATAACACACACCTGGCCATGGAACAGCTGAGAAGCCAATTGTCCCATTACTTTTGGTCCCTTAACAAGTGGGAGGCACATATGCAAACTGTTGTAATTTCTACACCGTTCACCTGATTTGGATGTAAATACCCTCAAATTAAAGCTGACAGTCTGCAGTTAAAGCAGGTCTTGTTCATTTCATTTCAAATCCATTGTGGTGGTGTATAGAGCCAAAAATGTTAGAATTGTGTCGATGTCCCAATATTTATGGACCTGACGGTATATATATATATATAAAATATATTCAATGGTATCAATTCCTTCATCCTCCAGGAACTGCCTGCATACTCTCGCCACAAGAGGCCAGGCATTGTTATGCACCAGGAGGAACCCTGGACTAACTGCACCAGCGTAGGGTCTGACAATGGGCCCAAGAATTTCATCCCGATATCTAATGGCAGTCAGGATGCCTTTGTCTAGCCTGTAGAGGTCTGTGCATCCCTCCATGGATATGCCTCCCCAGACCATCACTGACCCACCACCAAAACGGTCATGCTAACCGATGTTACAGGCAGCATAATGTTCTCCAGACTCTTTCACGTCTGTCGCATGTGCTCAGGGTGAACCTGCTCTCATCTGTGACAAGCACAGGGCGCCAGTTGTGGACCTGCCAATTCTGAAGTTCAATGGCAAATGCCAAATCAAACTATGGTATCGGGCAGTAAGCACAGGGCGCGTTAGAGAACATCGGGCCCTCAGGCCACCCTCCTGAAGTTTATTTCTGATTGGTCAGAGATATTCACACCAGTGGCCTGCTGGAGGTCATTTTGTAGGGCTCTGGCAGTGCTCATCCTATTCCTCCTTGCACAAAGGAGCAGATAACGGTCCTGCTGATGGGTTAAGGACCTTCTACGACCCTCTCCAGCAATCCTAGAGTAACTGCCTGTCTCCTGTAATCTCCTCCATGCTCTTGAGTCTGTGCTGGGAGACACAGCAAACCTTCTGGCAATGGCGCGTATTGATGTGCCATCCTGGAGGAGTTGGACTGCCTGCGCAACCTCTGTAGGCTCCAGGTATCGCCTCATGTTACCAGTAGGGACATTGACTCAAGCCAAATGCAAAACTAGTGAAAAACAGTCAAAAAAGATGAGTAGGGAAAAAATGTTATTGGCCTCTACCTGTAAAACCATTCCTGTTTTGGGGATCATCTGATTGTTGCCCATCTAGTGCACCTGTTGTTAAATTCATTAACACCAAATCAGTTGAAACTGATTAACAACCCCCTCTGCTACTTAACTGATCAGATCAATATTCCAGGAGTTTAATTGACTTGATGCTATACTTTGATCAAAAAGTGTTCCTTTAATTTTTCTGAGCAGTGTATATGCACACACACACACACATAAATGTTTTACATTTCATTTCTATTTTAAACTGATTAGGTTGTTTTTACAAGGTAAGGGTTTACATATACTTTAAGCTTGGCACGTAAATAAATATGTCAAATTTAGTATTGTTTGGGGGGAAAAAATAAAGCTTATCCATTTTGTCTTGTCTGCTGCATACTACCATGAATAAATGTATACAGCACCCTTTGTAAACATAGTGCACTTCTGTACGTTAACCACCATGATTTTAACCCTTGTATTTCTTTCTTTCTCAGACTGCAATCAGCGAGAACTACCAGACTATGTCTGACACTACTTTCAAAGCCTTACGTCGGCAGCTGCCAGTGACACGCACGAAGATTGACTGGAACAAGATTCTTAGTTACAAAATTGGAAAAGAAATGCAAAATGCCTAAAAAGAATGTTGTATGAATGGATTTTAGTATCTGTATACTACAAATAAACATGGTTGTAAAGTTTTTCAAACTGCCAGCCTGCTTGGTTAGGATGGCTCTTTGCTTTAAAAATTAAAATACTGTAATTAAATTCAGCTACAGCACAAAATTTACATTATGAATTCATTTCAGTTTACATTTTTGTTTTGAGGGTTAGTACATGTAATCTATTTAAGTCATTTTCCCTGTGTTCAACATTTTAGAAGGACAAAGTGCTTTTTTATGGCTTTTCTAAAATTAACTTGCATTTGTATAATTTGGTTAAAACTACAATGCTAAAAAAATCTCATTCTAGTGCCAGTGTGGAACAAAGTGCTCATTATGGCTTCAGTATTCTTTTATTATAACGTAGCCATATGTAATGTGCTAGAAGTCTGTTGGCTTCCATCTCTTCACTAATTGGGAAACAAAGCTTCATAGACCTCCTTATTTTGTTCTGTTAAACTAATACCTTACTTCAAAAAAACACAAACCATGCAAAGCCAAGTTCTTATGTTATTTTCATTTTTTTTTTTTTTTAACTCAGACTATGATTAAAGTATATTCAATGATTTTGTTTTTGTGATGGTACTTTTAAATTGGTTTGAAATTCATCTGCCAGGCTGTAACTTCTTACTTTCTACTGTATAGCATCCAATGTATTATAACAAGGTAAATTGTAATATATTTAATCCAGTACGTGTATGTCTGTCAGATTTTTTGTTTTCTCTTCTCTGCCCTTGAAATGTAATCAAACTCAATGTGACATTAAAATGCAGATTTTTTATTTGTAAGTGTAGAACTTGCTTGCAACTAACTATGATACGCTTTGGCCCTTGAAAATGATGTATGAGAACAATATTGAATCATTCTGATGCAAAATATGGGAAATATGGACTCTGCTCAGTTTGAAACTAGGAAAAAAGTGCAGATGGACAGGGCAGCATACTTTCCAGCTAGTCAGCAACAGCCAGCCATTGGTTTGGCTTCAATGTGTATTTGCAAATGTATGCAGCAAACACCTGTTTTGTAACCTAAATAGCTGAGACAATTTAGTCTTTTTTGCTGGCTAGCTTTAATACGTGCTATGGATTCTCTTTTGTATTGAGGGGCACGCTTGGCCATTTTTGTGTAAAGTGCCATTTTCTGCATTATTTGGCACTATTAACAGAAGTTTAGGGCAGAGCAAAAAAGGAAAAAACAGTGCTCCACTCCTAACTGGTCTGCATGTACACTTACATCTTTCCATCTAATTCTTTCTGCTTCCCTCTTTCTTCAACTTCCAAAATGCTTGCTCCAACCTTCTTGCGGTAATGTCCTCCTTGCTTAGTCACTTCAGAAGTAGAACTTTTCATTTTTTGTACACGTGTAAAAATCTGCATTTTTGGCTATAAAATTACTTAAAACCCCCAAAACATATATTTTAATTTTTTTATTATGAAAGCAAAGACCTTGTAAAATAATTGCAATTTTTTTATGTTGCACGATATTTGTGCAACAGTTTCTCAAATGCATATTTTTAGGAAATATAATGGATTTTAGTGCATACAAACATTGCTTGAAAAACATGGTTGAAAAATATCACTCTGTGTATAATGAATCTATATAATATGAGTTTAACTTTTTTAATTGAATTACTGAAATAAATTAACTTTTTGATGATATTACAATTTATTGAGATGCACCTGTACATATCACCCTCATTCCTGCCCACTAACTATTATACTACCCATATACTCCTGATGTTTCTGAGCAACACAATATAACAACTTCCAAAATACTGGGCCATCAGACCTCATAAATCTTGTTCCCATTTTACTTACCTCACCCTCCTGCTTCTCTGTGGATATCTGCCCAAACCCTGCCCAACTACACCTGAACCAACACCCTCTTTCCTCTGGCAGCAGTTGTAATCGTCACGCTCTTATTTCAGTTACCCTGTTTCCATGAGCCAGCTCTTCTTATATGTCCTCTGAATTGCCTGCTCAGTCTCTAACAAATTCAACAACCATTTTCTCTCCAATTCTTTCAGCCTACTTGATGTTACTGAAACCTGGCTTCAGGAATCTGACTGCCTCTCTTGCTTCCCTCTCCCATGGTGGCTTACACTCAGACTTCCAGACATAGTGGATGAAAAGGATGACTTGGACTTTACCTTTCCCCACAAAACACCATCCAAGTTCTCTATCCCACTCCTTTTGAAGCTCATTGTCTTAGTCTTTTTTCTCAGTTTACTGTAGGTTACAGTGATTTATTAGCCCCCTTGACCAGTGTCTCACTTCCTGCTCTGAGCTAGCTCACTTCTGTCTGCAACAGCTTACCTTCATCCTCCCTGAAGACACCTGCTCCCTCTTTTGTGCACATAACCAAGTTTCCTGCTGCAACCCTGGCTAACTGATGACACCAGAGTTGTCAATAGACACAAAGGTGTGCTTGAGCAACTAGAGCATAAAACTAAATCCCTGCAAGATTTCACCCTATAAATATAGATAAATCTGTCCTAAAATACAATTCCAGCTTGCATGCGACTAAACAAAACCTGTTTTGCCACTCTTAACATCCTTCCATCCAGTCCTTTTTTTTTTTTTCTTTTTACCCAAAATTCTCTGCTTTGTCCCCGCTCTGCCTCCCACTCCCCCTTGCCAATCATTTTAAAAACATGATCAAATCAATTTGTGATGAGATCTCCATGCTCCAGCTTTCTCCCTCAACCAGCAGCATACCAGGTCTAACACCACCAATACGCTTCTTTTAACCCTGTTACAAGTGTATTATGATTGAAAAATACTACAGTGTGCTTATTTTAGGTTTCAGATCACATTAGGGTCATACAATGAATATGTAGAGGAGAAATTGAGATTTACACGGGAATGGTAGAAGGTAAGGAAATCGGGATGGGTTTATATAGAACTATATTCTGTCAAATGTTTAGGGGCAGCGTCTAGCTAAGCTTTTGTATAAAGGGAGGGAATAATTAAAGAGATATCTATAGTTGTAAGATAGGTGGGTCAGGGTCCTTCATTTTCAGACACATGATTTGTTTTTGTATAAAAGAACAAATAACAGTGATTGTTTTTTGTTTTTTTTTTTTAGCAATTTCCAATTACTTAAAATCTTTCAGTAGACCCCATGCTAGATTTCATACTGTATATTTGGTAGGGATAACTGTTAGTGATAAACTCAGTCACTGTAGACCAAAAAAAAAAAAGTCTGGTACGTTGTCAAGCCCATATCATGGACTCTCATGTATCATGAATCTGGTACATTGGCAAGCCCATATCATGGACTATCATGTATATTGGCATATACAGTGCCTTAAAGTATTCATACCCCTTAAAATTTTCAATTTTTGTGATGTTACAACCAAAAACGTAAATGTATTTTATTAGGATTTTATGTGATAGACCAACACAAAGAGACACATAATTGTAAAGTGGAAGGAAAATGATAAATGGTTTTCAGAATTTTTACAAATAAATATCTGAAAAGTGTGGCATGCATTAAGTCCCCTTTACTCAGATAGCCCTAACTAAAATCTAGTGGAATCAATTGCCTTCAGAAGTCACCTAATTAGAAAGGAGAGTCCACCTGTGTGTAATTTAATCTCAGTATAAACACAGCTGTTCTGAGAAGTCCTCAGAGGTTTGTTAGAGTACATTAGTGACCACACAGCATCATGAAGGCCAAGGAACACACCAGACAGGTTAGGCATAAGTTGTGGAGAAGTTTAAAGCAGCAGGGTTAGGTTATAAAAAACATATCCCAAGCTCACGGAGCACTGTTCAATCCATCATCCGAAAATGGTAAGAGTATGGCTCAACTGCAAACCTACCAACACATGGTTGTCCATCTAAACTGACAGGCTGGGCAAGGAGAGCATTAATCTGAGAAACAGCCAAGAGGTCCATGGTAACTCTGGAGGAGCTGCAGAGATCCACAGCTCAGGTGGGAGAATCGTTCCACAGGACAACTATTAGTAGTGCACTCCACAAATCTGGCCTTTATGGAAGAGTAGCAAGAAGAAAGCCATAAGAAGTGCAGTTTGCGAGAAGCCATGTGGGAGACAGCAAACATGAAAGAAGGTGCTCTGGTCAGATGAGGCCAAAATTTAACTTTTTGGCCTAAAAGCAAAACGCTATGTGTGGTGGAAATCTGACACTGCACATCACCCTGAACACACCATCCCCACCGTGAAACGTGACAGCATCATGTTGTGGGGATCCTTTTCTTCAACAGGGACAGGGAAGCTGGTTAGAGTTGATGGATGGAGCCAAATACAGTGCAATCTTAGAAGTTAAGAGTCTGCAAAAGACTTGAGATGGGGGTGGAGGTTCACCTTCCAGCAGGACTATGACCCTAAACATACAGCCAGAGCTACAATGGAATGGCTTAGATCAAAGCATATTCATGTGTTAGAATAGCCCAGTCAAAGTCCAGACCTAAATCCAACTGAGAATCTGTGGCGAGACTTGAACATTATTGTTCACAGACGCTCTCCATCCAATCTGACAGAGCTTGAGCTATTTTGCAAAGAATGGGCACAAATTTCACTCTAGATGTGCAAAGCTGGTAGAAACATCCCCAAAACGACTTGCAACTGTAATTGCAACGAAAGGTGATTCTACAAAGCATTGACTCGGGCTGAATACAAATGCACGCCACATTTTTCAGATATTTGTAAAATATTTTAATTCAATGAATTTATCTTTAGCAGAAATAAGGGAAGGTAATTGTGTATTGACTATGTCCTCCCTAAGCTTTATAATCTTTAGATGGTATGTCTCTCTGCCATTCCTACTGTATTTAATATTGACCATCCTATGTATAGAGGGACAAAGTAGGGCAGAGTAGCATCTGGAGATAAATTCTGTGTTGTCATTTTTTTTCAAGGTTTTCCATCTGGAAAGTCTATAGCCTCACATCCCTTAATCCAAACTATGCGGAAGTAGTACAGTATGTCGTAACTGTATATAAGCAAAAAA